TTACAATATGATACAATGCAATAAAATCCGATACAGTACAATACAACACGATACGATAAAACAAAATATGAAATACAATACATTAAAATACGGTACAATGTAATAAAATATGATAGAATAAGTTACGACAAAATACGATAAAATAAAATACAAATACAACAAAATATGATACTAAACAAAACAATGAAATAAAATACAATACAATACCATAAAACATGATACAATAAAATACAATACAACAAAATACGATACGATACAATAAAATGTAATAAAATACGATACAATGCAATACAATATGACAAAATTAAGTATAATATATTACATTAAAATATGATACAATGCAATAAAATACAATAAAATAAAATATAATACAAGACAAAAAAATGATACAATACGTTACGATAAAACATGATACAGTAAAATACAATGCAGTTAAATAAAATATGATACAATACAACAAAATGCGATAAAATAAAATACAAAACAAAACAATGCAATACATTAAAATACGATACAATGCAATAAAATACAATAAAATAAAATATAATACAAGACAAAAAAAATGATACAATACGTTACGATAAAACATGATACAGTAAAATACAATACAGTTAAATAAAATATGACACAATACAACAAAATGCGATAAAATAAAATACAAAACAAAACAATGCAATACATTAAAATACGATACAATGCAATAAAATATGATACAGTACAATACGATACGATACAATACAATAAAATACAATGATACTAAAAATAAAATACAATACAAAACCATACATTAAAATACAATACAATGCAATAAAATACAAGACGTTATGACAAAATACTATACAACAAAATACTATACAATACAATATGATACGATACAAAACAATGCAATAAAATAAAATTAAATACTATACAATAAAATACTAAATGATACGTTAAAATATGAAACAATACAACAAAATATGATACAATACAATACAATATGATAAAATAAAATAAAATATCATAGAAAAAATGAAATTAAACAAAATAAATAAATAACATATAATATTATAGGTCAAATTTGGATGCCAAGATATTGTCATAATTTATTTTTTCTCTGCTAGTAAAACAAGTATGCATGTTATGGGCAGGTTTTAGAGCAGCGCTGTGATGCTATTGGTTGTTCAGTAGACACAGGACTTGAGTTTGACATCTGAGGCTCTTGGTCTTGGTCCAGTCTGGCCCATTATAAGCCCTGGCTCTCATTAACCCAACAGTATAGTGGCTGGCTAGTAGTGAGACAAACTTTACTGAGCACTACTAACCGCTAACTTCATACAGTTTCTCACTGTCATAAGCAGACTGCGGTTGATTAGACCCTTCATAAAGAATGCTGGCAGTCTTGTGTTGTAATGTGTAGCGTGTGAATTGTTTATTAACTTGTTAGTGTGTGTTAGTTGATGGTTTGTTGTGTACCACTGGAGTGAAATTTTGTGTGTGTGTGTGTGTGTGTGTGTGTGTGTGTGTGTGTGTGTGTGTGTGTGTGTGTGTGTGTGTGTGTGTGTGTGTGTGTGTGTGTGTGTGTGTGTGTGTGTGTGTGTGCGCGCGCTGCTTGGTTTAATAATGTTCAGCACTTCGCTAACCAATGAGATGCAGCCGGTTACCATGGAGACGGCATCTCCTTCAGCACTGCTCACCGCTGTTCACTTAAAGCAGAAGTGCATCCAAAACTCATCACATCTACAACACAAAAGCTCAGCTAGTGAAGGCGCTCCACACAGAGCTTTTTACAGGTTCACTGAGATCTTTCAAGCTCCTGGAAAGATTTCTGAAATCATACAATAGTTTTAGTTTTCCGGAACAGACAATGATGTCTTCCCTTTTGGGAAAAAAATATCATGAATAATAATAATAATAATAATAATAATAATAATAGTTCATTCATTCATTCATTTTCTTTTCGGCTTAGTCCCTTTATCTGGGGCTGCCACAGTGGAATGAACCGCCAACTTATTCAGCATATGTTTTACACAGCAGATGCCCTTCCAGCTGCAACCCATTTCTGGGAAACATCCGTACACACTCATTCACAGTCACACACTACGGACAATTTAGCCTATCCAATTCACCTGTACCGCATGTCTTTGGACTGTGGGGGAAACATGGCACCCGGAAGAAACCCACTTGAACGGAGGGGGAACATGCAAACTCCACACAGAAACACCAACTGACCCAGCCCAAATAATAATAATAATAATAACAATAATAATAATAATAATTAAATCAATTGAAACATATTTTATTTATTTTTATTTCATTTATTGCATGTTTTAAAATTTGATGTACAAATTTTCATATCTTTTGAGAATTACGAAGCAACAGGTCACATAATCAACCGGGGCTTATTATTAATTTTAAATACAGTTTTTAAATATTTGTATTGTACTAATAGTAAATAAAAATATATTAATAAATTCTGTATAATAATGTGTAACACATGTAATAAATACTGCTGCTACTACTAGCACTACTACTTATAAAAGACAAATAAATTGACTAGATTTTATTGATTTAATTTTTGTATTTTTAATGCAATTACTACGGTTTTAACTGTTGCTAACTAAATGATAATATTATAACTAATATTTTCCTTTTAATAATACTTAATAGGTCAACAGCTGTATTGCAGTATATAGTATTACTGTAATTCATTTACAATATAATTCTAATATTGTATTTATATTGTTGTTGTGTTTTTAAATAGTACTTAATATTAGGATTTAATTATATTGAGTTATTAATACTACTACTACTTAACTACTGCACTATTATTATTGCAGCTACTACTACTACTACTAGTAATAGTTTGTTTGTTGTTTTTACATTAAAATATCACTATTATTTTGTTTCTTTAGTTTTTTTTGTGATTTTTATTTTTTGTAATTAAATTTATTTGTGATTTTTTTATTTTATTTTATTTTTTGCTAACAATTTTGTAATGGTAATTTAAAAAAATTATATATATATATATATATATATATATATATATATATATATATATATATATATATATATATATATATAGTTGAAGTCAGAATTATTAGCCCCCTTTGTTTTTTTTCCTTTAAATATTTCCTAAATAGCGTTTAACAGAGCAAGGAAATTTTCTTGCTTTTTAAAGTGTTAAATAAAGATTTTCATACAGAAAAAAAAAAAATCTTTAAAATGTTACACTGTGATTTCCTTGTTTTGTATTTATTTCTGAAATTTACTTTGAATTAAATAAAATATTACTTTAAAGTACAGCTTTAATATGACTTCAGAAGACTTGAAAAGTACCCAAGACCATGCATTTAATCCTAACGTCTTCAAGGTTTGCTGTTTTTCCTTCTCTGCCTTTGCATAAACAGATGCTGAGTGTTAAAGAAAGAAAAAAATCGCAGTTTGTCATGATTATGTGTGCTGATGAGGACACAATCACACATCTCCCCACATTACTGTGCTTTCAGAAAGTTCACGCTCCCCATTAAACACTCCAAGATCAAGACATGGCTTTTATTCCTCGCGTCTCTGCGTAGTTATAGCAGGTCACGCATCTTAACTCCTCTGCTTTTATAGGCAGTAATGCATACTAGAAATAGAGAAAATCATCAAACTTGGCTGAAAGTTGAAAAACCCTTGAAGTCTGGAAGTTATCTGGGCCTTGTGAACTGAGATTGGTGGTTGTTGCTACAGTAAGTGATTGCTAATGTGGTCTAAGTGGTTGCTAGGGTATATTGCTAGATCTTATGTAGGTTTTTGACGTGTTCTTGCTGCGATTTTATCACAGTATGTGTTTTGCTGCTTGTTCGAACTACTTAGTAAAAATGAGCTGAAACAACACAATTATGGGGATTTATTTTGGGACAACTTATTTTTTTGATGTTCAATCCTCTTCATTTTTGGTGAAGGGACAACATGAATGAATTATGTGGAGCTCTACATTTTTTACACTGTATATGTTGTTACATTTACACTGTGCATTTAGCAGACTCTTTTATCCAAAGTGGTGTGACAATGAACAAATCGATTCTGATGCTGATTTGAATGCAGAATGCAGATGTCTTATCTGTTTGATTTGTGCATGACTGAATCTAGATAAAATAGGCATCCCATTACTTATGTTAGTTTGTTAAAATTCTAGAATAAAGTGAACAGAAGATAATAAAACTATCCAGTTTACACCTTACATTTAGACCCAAGTCAGTTCTCTTTGTTATTATTATTATTATAATTGTTGTTATTATTATTATTATTATTATTATTATTATTATTATTATTGTTCATCATTCATTCACTTTCTTTACAGCTTAGTCGCTTCATTAATCTGGGCTTGCCACAGCGGAACGAACCGCCAACTTATCCAGTATATGTTTTACACAGTGGATGCTCTTCCAGCTGCAACCCATCACTGGGAAACACCCATACACTCTCATTCACACACATACACTACGGACAATTTAGCTTACTAAATTCCTTAAAGCGCCATGCCAACACGGGGAGAACATGCAAACTCCACACATGAACGCCAACTGACCAGCGACGTTCCTGCTGTGAGGCGAACTTGCCGCCTACTGTATATATTAAATTATATTATCATTATATTAATTAAACAATTTAATTAAATTATATTAATTGATTATATTAATTATATTAAACTCTGTTTTCGATTAGAAATAAGCACAGCTTAAGATGCAGTTTAGACCAATTTAAAGGGCATTTTCTAAATTTCTTGATGATTTTGAAGCTTCAGATTCCACATTAAAAATAGTCCAAAAATGACCAAATTTCGTCCTACCCTAATAAACCACACATCAATCCTATTTCTTCCTCGTTCTGCATACAGTACTTTGTATGATGTGCACATCTCAATTTCCAAAAATTAACTTTGAAAATCTTTTGTTTTGTTGTGAATAGCCAGTTGCACAAGCAAAGCGCATGTCTTTAACGTTACTAACAGCTTAATGTTTTTTAACTCTCAGGTGTTGAACCCGATGGGCTGGGATGCATTTGGTCTGCCGGCTGAAAACGCTGCCATCGAGCGAAATCTGGACCCGGAGGACTGGACCAGAAGGTGCGAAACACACAGAGACACAGAGCATCAGTGATGTTTCTCCAAACGGGTTCCTGAACACCTCTGATTATCCTGCACTCTTCTCTCTGTTTCTCACAGTAACATCGAGTCCATGCGGACGCAGCTGGACAGTCTGGGCCTCTGCTTTAACTGGGATCGGGTGAGTGGACCTAATTCAGTAGATTTGTGGGAATTATTTACATTAGCAGTGTCTGATGCCAATCACTCACTCGTTCCCTCATTCACTAGTCTCTATATGGGGTATAGCAGCTGAATGCACTATATGAGGAAAGATCCTCAAATGGTTTGAGTTACCTTAACTTATTGGGTTTTACAGTGTATGTGTATTTGCAGTGCATCTGGAAAGTATTCATAGCGCTTCAAATTTTCCAATTTTATTTTAATGTTATAGAGTTAGTCCAAAATGGATTAAATTCATCAATTTCCTCAACATTCTACACACAATCCCCCATAATGACAATGTGAACAAAGAGTTTTTGAAATTGCTGCAAATTTATTACAAATAAAAAAGCTGTAAAATCACATGTACATCAGTATTCACAGCCTTTGGCGTGAAGCTCTAAATTGAGCTCAGCTGCATTCTGTTTCCACTGATCATTCTTGAGATGTTTCAGCAGCTTCATTGGAGTTCATCTGTGCTCAATTCAGCTGATTGGACATGATCTGAAAAGGCTACACCTGTCTATATAAGGTCCCAGGGTTGACAGTGCATGTCAAAGCACAAACCAAGCATGAAGACAAAGGAATTGTCTGTAGACCTCCGAGATAGGATTGTCTCCAGGCACAAGGCTGGGGAAGGTTACAGAAACATTTCTGCTGCTCTGAAAGTTCCAATGAGCACAGCGGCCTCCATCATCCAGAAGTGAAAGATGTTTAACCACCAGGACTCTTCCTAGAGTTGGCCGGCCATCTAAGCTGAGTGATCGGGGGAGAAGGGCCTTAGTCAGGGAGGTGATCAATAACCCAATGGTCATTCTGTCTGAGCTCCAGCATTCTTCTGTGGAGAGAGGAGAACCTTAATGAAGGAATACCATCTGTGCAGCAATCCACCAATCATGCCTGTATGGTAGTGTGACCAGACAAAAGCCACTCCTTAGTAAAGGGCATATAGCCACCCGTCTGGAATTTGCCAAAAGGCATCAGAAACTAAATTCTCTGGTCTGATCAGACTAAAATTGAACTCTTTGGAGTGAATGCCAGGCGTTACGTTTGGAGAAAAGGCTAATACCATACCTACAGTGTAGCATGGTGGTGGCAGCATCATGCAGTGGGGATGTGTTTCAGCAGCAGGAACTGGAAGACTAGTCAGGATAGAGGGAAAGATGAATGCAGCAGTGTACAGAAACGTCCTGAATGAAGACCTGCTTCACAGTGCTCTTGACCTCAGACTGGGGCGACGGTTCATCTTCCAGCAGGACAATGACCCAAAGCACACCGCCAAAATATCAATGGAGTGGCTTCACAGCAACTCGGGGAATGTCCTTGAGTGGCCCAGCCAGAGCCAAGACCTGAATCCTATTGAACATATCTGGAGAGATCTGTAAATGGCTGTACACCGTCGCTTCCCATCCAACCTGATAGAGCTTGAGAGGTACTGCAAAGAGGAATGTGCGGAAATTCCCAAAGACAGGTGTGCCAAGCTTGTGGCATCATATTCAGAAAGACTTGAGGCTGTAATCACTGACAAAGGGGCATCAACAAAGTATTGAGCAAAGTCTGTGAAAACTGATGTACATGTGATTTTACAGCTTTTGTATTTGTAATCAATTTGCAACAATTTCTAAAACTCTTTGTTCACATAGTTTAAGGTTGTAACATAAAAAATGTGTAAAAAGTGAAGTGCCATGAATACTTTCCGAATGCACTGTACATATTATTATTATATTCTTCGTTCTACCAGTGAGTCGTGTGTTTTTATGTTTCAAACAGAAGTATGACTCCATGTAAATGTTGTCTCTGCTTTATCAGGAGATCACCACGTGTCTGCCGGATTATTATAAGTGGACTCAGTATCTGTTTATCAAGATGTTTGAGGCTGGACTGGCCTATCAGAAAGAGGTGAGAACAGAATTACAAGTCTGAATTATCAGCTCTCTTGAGTTAGCCCCCATGTATAGTTTTTATTTTTAGGACAGAAGATTTTGTTCAACACATTTCTAATCATAATAGTTTTAATAACTGATTTATTTTATCTTTGTCATGATGACAGCAAATCATATTTGACTAGATATTCTTCAGAACACTAGTATTCAGCTTAAAGTGACATTTAAAGGCTTAACTAGGCAGGGTAGGGTAATTAGGCAAGTCATTGTATATAACTGGTTTGTTCTTTGGACAATCGAAAAATAACATTGCTCAAGGGGGCTAAAATATTGACCTAATATTGTCACCACCCATCTTGAAAAGTTTGCCCCCTCACATATACTAATGTGCCACAAACAGTACGTTAATATCACCAACCATTCCCATTTTATTAAGGCGGATCAATATAAATGGCCCACCCTGTACAGAAGAGTAAAGCTTTAAGTAGGAAAAATGTCAAAACTCCTTGGTCATTTTTGAGTGAGATGCTAACGGTCTAATCCGATTTAACAATCTATGCTAAGCTAAGCTAAAAGTGCTCCCAACAGACTCGGAGATCGGCTTGACATTGTTATAACATAGTTATAGTACACTTACACAATGACCAGTATTCGACACAGTGTTTTTCAGTCATGTTAGCCTTTCATTCACTATGTGTTGATTCTGCACAGGCTCTGGTGAATTGGGATCCGGTGGATCAGACGGTGCTTGCGGATGAACAGGTGGATGAAAACGGCTGCTCGTGGAGATCTGGAGCTCCTGTGGAACAGAAGATGCTCAAGCAGTGGTTCATCAAAACCACCAACTATGCCAAGGTATGAGCTCCTGCAGCAGGCTGATCCAACACAAACTCCGGACAGATTTAAATAGGCTGTGACTCAGGGCCGGAGTGGGACTCCTTTTTAGCTCTGAACTTAGACCGGCCCACCTCAATCGACGACTGACTATATTAAAATAACGTTATTTCCAATTCAGTTTCTAGTGACACTAGCACGTCTTTTTCAAGGACACAGCTGCTTTAGAACTTCAAATGTTTTTCATAAATATGAGAACATTAGTTCTTTATAGATATCCAGTCGTTTGTAATGGTCGTTAGCGTCACACACACACACACACACACACACACACACACATGTACCCCTACATAAGTAACCCAAACAGTATTATGTGTCTTAACACTAAAAATGAAAAAAGAAATTATCCTGCTGAGGATCGAACTCGGGTCGGCGGCGTGATAACGCAGCGTGCTAACCCAGCCTGATCTCACGAGAAAACGTAAGTATTTTACGTTTTGCCAGTTTAGTGGCTAATTCGTACAAATTCGTACGAGTTCAGTCGTACGAAATGGTACGATTTTAAAAAGGAGGCGTGGCACCTGACCCCACCCCTAACCCCAACCGTCATTGGGGGAAAAGCAAATGGTACTAAATTGTACAAATTAGATCGTACGAATTCATACGAATTAGCCACTAAATGAAAAAGTTACGAATTGCCGTGAGATTGTGTTGGCTAACCACTAGACCAAGACGGCACTGTTAGGGTGGTGTGTTCGGGATATAAAATAAGTACTGCACTATTAAGCCTATGCACTAAGTACTGCACTATTAAGTATGCAACGCGCGTGGCTGTGCATTTATACTTCTGCGCGCTGTCTCTGTCGGTCTGCATTAACACTTCCGAAACGCTAGTTGGCAGTGAGGTGTAAATCTTCCTCTGTGTCGAGTTTCTTCGCTGCTTTTTTGCTTTTCCTGAACACTTCCGGGATGTACAAGTGGCTCAAACTCACTCATTTTGAGGCAGGAACCGGCGGACGTGCAACAACTTTAACTATGAGGTAAACACAAAACAAAACTATCCATCCGAAGCTCCTTCACGGGACTCCACACTTGTAAACAATCGCTCGCGCCATTCGCGCGGCTCTCGGTCCCGCCCAGACTCGTCAGCGCTACCAAGCCGACCAATCACAGAGCTTGCGCTATGCGTTGTTGCGACGTGTAGTTACATTTTTTGAGAGGTGCACGTCAGTGACGCCGATGGCCACGGCAAAGGGCTATGCGTCAGCGCCGTAGCATACGCTATATAAGTATAAATCAGCCTTTTTCTGCTGCTGTTGATGTCTAATCTTTTTCTCCCCTTTTTAGATTTCTTATCAAGTTATGTCAGATTTATTAATGTAGTGAATCATCTGATTTTCATTGAGCAGGTGTAATATTCATTAATATTAATTAATATTCACTAAGTTGCTGCTGTTTGGAATGATAACTTAGTTACATCATCATTAACCTGCGGGCTGCATTTTGCTCACAGGGCTGCGAGAAAATAAATCAAATGAGCAGATCTGCGGCAAAATCATGAATAAAAATAGTGTGGCTATGGTCAAATAAATAAATAAATAAAAAGTGCAACTGCTGAGAGTGCAAGCAGCTAGGGACACCGGCCCTCGCGGCCAAAAAACGGACCGGCCCACAGGGAATTCACCCCATGCTCCTGATTAGCCAATCCGGGCCTGCTGTGACTTTGTAAAAAACATCTGTAATTTTGCAGTTTTCTGTATTTTGTGTTTCATTATGTCATCTTCCCCCATTTATTCATGCTTTTGAGTTGCATTATGGGAGCTTGATCTTTCCTCCATCTTTTAACATTGAGAGTGACTTTTATGAGCATTTTTAATAGTTTAAAGTGCTTTATTGTCTGGGTTGGTGTTGTATATTACGCTATAGACCTTTTTCTTGGAACGCAAAATTACCCATTATGCTTTGCGTGTATGCGCAAGGAGAATGCGTAGAACTTCCGGTCGGCAGCTGATGCGTGTAAACAGTCACATCTGGACAGCTTTGAAACGATAGTTTTAATCTATTTTACCTGCTTTTATCCTCTTTAAACTAACACTGTTGTCCATCAGCAGCATCTCCTGGACTGATCATTTACAGAAATGCGATCTGATAGGATGGAAAACAGCTGCTGTGAGGCGTTTTCCCCTCGTTGTCAGACGGCATCTTCTGCAGTTTAAATGAAGCCTCGTCATCGCTAAAGTCAACATTTTCTCTTTATTTCAAATATATAACCAGCCCAAACTAATGTAGTTCAGCAAAATGTTTGACACACACACACGTAGCCTGTACTGTGCCACTAACACACTGATTTAATAACTGTGACAAAGTGAAAATAAAGACTAGAGTCATTTCAAAATAACAGAAAAACATAAACCGTGGTAAAAACAACACACACAATCAAAAACAAACAGCTCGCGATTAGAATGAACAGCTAATCAGCAGTAGAGGATCAATAACAGATTTTTATTGCTCATTTTAGTAAAATGCACGACTTTCATACCTGTTAAGTTTCATGCCAGTAATCTCTCTCTCTCTCTCTCTCTCTCTCTCTCTCTCTCTGTGTATTTCTGATGGCAGACACGTGAACTAGGAGAACGTTTTTCTCGTATTTCTGACGCGCTTGAACCACATGTGACAGATTATAACGGCTTTAACAGACACATTTCTAAGTTGTGTGTCACAAAAACACTCAGTTATCCATTGAAAAAGTCATTGAAACCCATTTTCGGAGCGCAAATGACCAGTTGTACACGCTGTGAACGGAAGTTTTTAGCATTCTACCGGAAGACGCTGGTCGCTATGGCGCCCTCCATGCAGCAGCCATGATAAAGATCTATAAAAGCCTGACAGTCGGTACAATTTCTGTTATTTTACAGACTTATTTCTCTATATGTTATGTCTCATACATTATAATATTTCAAACTACTAAAACATCAATAAAAGTCACTTAATAAACTGGAGAGTTGAATTTTCAACATCAAAAGTCAACAAAGCAGAGATCAACATCCCATAATGCAATTCACAACCAATATAGGCTGTATATAGTTATTAATATTCCAGAACAGCATGTTCTAATAAGATACTTAGACTTGACAATCAAATGCTCTCAGTTACAGCGTGCTTCAGTTTGAATCCAAACCAACATGCCTGCAATTTATTACTGTACAATATCAGCCACAGGGAAGCTGGCTAGAGTGCACTCCATCTTAATTATACCTCCATTTAACAGCAACAACAACAACAACAAAAAAAAAAAATATATATATATATATATTCCACCCACACAGTAACTGGTTAAAAGTCCTGCGAGTCTAAATGAGTTCAAGCGCTCAAGATCTCTGTCTGCGCTGAAGATCTGCCCTCGAGTCACATTCAAATGATTGTATTTACAAGAGGACCGTACATGAGCGCCACTCCAGTGTGCTGATTATCAGTGGAGGCGTCAGCTTTCAAAAATCATGTTGGAAGCAAATTAGAATTGGACATAATTAAGTTTAAATCGTGAATGTTGGCTGCGGAGTTTAGTTCTGTGTGCTGCTAATGAAGAAAACTAATAAAGCTTGCCAGAATCTGTGAAATGTTGATAAAACAGCTGATCCATATGCGACGAAATGTTCCCATCAGTCTCTATGGCAGCGATTAATAGAGAAATTACATAATGCATCAGTCGCACACCTAATGCACGTTCTTTGCTTTTCGTTTGGAGCCTTTGCTCTATAAAGCATCCTGCGCTCACTGCAGAAATTGAGTTTTCTTGCTGAGGATTTTGTCTTGTTTCCATCAGCCATGCAAAATCCATGAATAATAACAAATAACTGATTTCTACAAGGTTTTAGTAAACGTCTGGTCATATTGACTTGCTGAATATGAACTTTATTGTGTCGACACAATACAGGATTAACCTCTTTCCTATGTTATAACATTATAGAATGTTTGTTGTTCGTTCCTAGTGAACTACACATATTATTTACAGGTACCTTCCTTTATACAGTGTTTATTTAGTCCACCATTATATTAAATAAGCATAAAAAAATGTATGTAATACAACTAAATGTCATTTTCAAAGGCTTTGTTGTTCATTTCTACTATTGATGGCATGTTGCCAATACCTCACTTAATATCTATAAAGTGCACAGTTATATTAGGGAAAAGTCTCTCCTAAATATGTCAATGTTTTTTTTTCCTTTATCCTTAGCTTTAACAAATGCTGGAATAGTTGGCGGTTCATTCCACTGTGGCGACCACTTATAAATAAGAGACTAAGCCGAAGGAAAACGAATGAATGAATAACTAATGATAAAGTATTTAAGATGAATGCTAGGGGGCCGTATGACACCAACAACTTGTGTTCCTCTTACACTATTGACATTTTTGCACTTTTTCAAGATGTTAATCCACTTTTCCCCACATTTTTTTAATGTAACTAATGTAAATGTAATGTTTACTGGGCAGTAGGTAGTGCTGTCACCTCACAGCAAGAAGGTCGCTGGTTCGAGCCTCAGCTCAGTTGGCGTTTCTGTGTGGAGTTTGCATGTTCTCCGTGCGTTCGCGTGGGTTTCCTCTGGGTCCTCCGGTTTCCCCCACAGTCCAAAGACATGCAGTACAGGTGAATCGGGTGGGCTAAATTGTCCAAAGTGTGTGTGTGCGTGTGTGTGCGTGCATGCGTGTGTGTGTGTGTAAGTAAATGTTTCCCAGCGATGGGTTGCAGCTGGAAGGGCATCCGCTGCGTAAAAACGTGCTGGATAAGTTGGCGGTTCTATTTGCTGTGGTGACCCCAGATTAATAAAGGGACTAAGCCGACAAGAGAATGAATGAATGTTCAGTATTATTATTAATAGAACAAGTTGGTCGTGAACGTTTTAAAGTCAGCAAAGCTGCTAAAATTATCCAAATTAAAACTTGTGGCTCTTTGCGTTTATGTGGTTTATAAGGGTGTCACAATCCTCCAAATCCTCGATTCGATTACATTTTCGATTCTAAAG